TTAAAATGTACGTCAATTAAGCCAGGTGCCTTCATCCTGTGCTGTGGTATTGATTTCTGTGAATTGAGTTTACTTCTATCCTCCTTCCGGTACTGGGGATTGAACTCAGATCTTGGGCACTGTCCTGAGCTTTAGTGCAAGGCTCTATCACTTAAGCCACATTTCCACATGTAGGTTTTTAGTGGTTAATTGGAGATAAGAATCTCACAGATTTTTCCTGCCTGGGCTGGCTTTGAGCTGTGATACTCAGATTTCAGCCTCCTGATTAGCTAGGATTACAGGCATATGCCACTGGTGTCTGGCTTCAAGTTTATATTTTTAAGATACTTACTTGTCAAAATATTTATGCCTTAAGCTAGGCACTTAGTGAGTCATGCCTGTAATTCCTTACTCTGGAGGCTGAGATCTGAAGATTGTGGATGGAAGCCAGCCCTGGCAGAAAAAATCTCAGAAACCCTTTCATCTCCGGTTAATCAAGAAAAAGCCAGGGGCTGGGAAGGTGGCTCAGTGGTAGAGTGCTTGCCTTGCATGTATGAGGCCCTGGGTTCAATTCCTCAGCACCACATAAGCAAAAAGAAAAAAGCCGGAAGTGGCGCTGTGGCTCAAGTGGTAGAGCGCTAGCCTTGAGCTGAAGAGCTGAGGGACAGCGCCCAGGCCCAGAGGTCAGGCCCCACGACCGGACCAAAAAAAAAAAAGAAAGAAAAAAGAAAAAGCCAGATGTAGAGGTATGGCTCTAGTGTAGAGCACTAGCCTTGAGCAGGAAAAGCTAAATGAGAGTTGGAATCTTGAGCTCAAGCCCTGGTTCAGTCACAAAGAGAAAAAAAGTCTTAAGTTTATTAACTTCAGAACCCACTTTCCTGTGAGTGCATTTCCTTATTTTCTGTGCCTATTTTACTTAACTTGGGGCAAAAGCCTAGGTCATTCCTGTCTTTGATGTGGAAGGGTAGATCACCCAGGCTGGAGAAGATGAAGAACTTGTTTCAGATTATGAGCTGGTAAATGGAGGCTGTAAAAAGGACTTGCTCTTACAGACATCTTGCACAGTGCTGAGGAGTTTCCTGCCAGGGAGTTATTTATGCTTTGCCATGTTTGGGCAGTTGCAAATCTGGATAAGCATGTCTGGCTCACCTAGTCAGTGGTCACGGGAGAGACCTCCCTCCAGGTGAACATAAATGGTCTATTCTTTCTGTGCTAATTAGTTTCTGTTATTTAGCCATTTGGGAATCTGTCCAATCACACAAGCATGTACTCAGGATTCTCAGGATTCTTTCTCTATTCTTCTCCAAGTACTAGTCTAGTAATCTCCAACAAAAAACAAACCAAGGTGTGGCTTGAACTTTCTTCATGTTCTTAATGAGCTTTCTAAAATTTTTTGTTTCACTGCTTAAAATCTGTGCTACTAGGGATTTTGTTTGGATTTCTGATAACTACAGGCTTGAAACTCCATTGAGCCCAGAATTTTCCACCTTCTCTTGAAGGTGACTGAGTTACAGATACAGACAGAAGTAAGTAGACACTGATGGCTCATGCCTGTAATCTTAGCTATTTAAGAGGCTGAGATCTAAGGATCTTGGGTCAAAGCCAGCCCAGGCAGGAAAGTCTCTGAGACACTTATATACAGTAAAGCACCAAAGGAAAACCAGAAATGGAGCTGTGGCTCAAGTAGTAGAGCACCAACCTTGAGAGCAAAAGTGTTCATTACACTTCATCTTTTGTAGTACATTGCATCTTAAGTAGTGTTTAAATTTAATTTTTCTTATTCTCATTTAGAAAGCCATTTAATTTGGATTTCTGCCTTTCTTAGTACCATAACAAATTTTTGGCCTAAATTGCTCATTTACATATGTGTTTCATTGTCAGACTGAATTAGGACTGAGGGCTAGTTATAGAACAATATACACTACTTGTGTTGTGCTTCAGTAAATAATGGAAGAACGTAAAGAAGTTGTCTTTCCCTGTGTTTGGGAAATTATGCCCTTGTGTTACTAACATTTATATATTTCTCTCTTTGAGGTTCTATCTAGTGTACAGTTGGTCAGTGTTATATTCCCAGAGATTTGGAATTGACTATTTAAGGATGTGGAAGAGAGGTGCTATTCATTTTGCAGAACAAAGTTAAGAGACTGGATTCATTTACTGCTACTGTCATAGGAATGTTATACATACGCTCTCCCAGAACTGTTGGAGTCATAATGATAAGACATGAAAATAAAGAATTAGCAAAGCAAAATTTGCTTCTGCAGAAAAGTGTACCATCAGCCAACAGTCTATTCAGCAAGCACAAACAGCAGACAAGCTGCTATCTATCCCTAACACAGCAGGCCCTACCCCTCTGCTCAGATTGGCTGAGCTCAAGTTCACAATCTGCTCATGACTGGCTAGTCTGAATAAGGTAAATTGAATTTATATTAGGTACCTTTGAAATAACAGCCATATACAAGTAATCTTAAAATATACCTATACCTTCTGCTATTTCTTGAACAGTCTGAGGTGTGTCTTAATTCCATCTTGAAACCAGTTTAAGGATGAATAGATGCAGCAATGGTACTCACTGGACACTATGTTGAAAATTAACTATATAACTTGGATGGATGGAATGGGAGAAAAACAGAGAGAGAGGGAAGAGATGACACTGTCCAAAAAGAAATGTACTCTTTACCTGACTTACATAACTGTAACCCTTCTGTAAACCACCTTTATTTATTTTTATTTTATTTGCCAGTCCTGGGGCTTGAACTCAGGGCTTGGACACTGTTCCTGAGCTTCTTTTGCTCAAGAGCACTCTTAACACTTGATCCACAGTGCCACTTCCAGCTTTTTCAGTTTATGTGGTACTGAGGAATTGAACCCAGGGCTTCATGCATGCTAGGCAAGTACTCTACCACTAAGCCATATTCCTAGCCCAACCAGGAACTTTTAACAACACACTTTAATAGAAAAGACAGGTTTTTTTTCACAGAATGCATAATTGCACAGGTTTTATTTAAATAGGAAGACATACCATGTTTTCATATACTCAGGTTAGACATGTTGCTCAGCTGGAGGGAGCTGTCTTATAAAGTTAATATGATATTTTCCCTATTACCTTCAAACCTGAAAGCACAAAAGGTTTTGTAGGTAGAAATAGCCATAGTCCAGCCTGATTTGTGTAAATGTTGGACAAATATTTGCCCATCTACCATGTGCCAGGCATTGTTTTAGTCAGTGAACAAGCCAGGCAAAATTCCTGTTCTCATGGAATTTACCTTTACTGATCAGACTTTCTTGTATACTTTGAAAGAATGTTTCACTACTTCATTGTCCTTAACAGGAGGCACGCCCAATGTGGAAGCTAATCCAACACTGGGTTTTCTAAATGTAGCTTTTTAGATGTGATTGGCTAGTCTTTTTTTTTTTTTTTTCCCCAGGACAGTTTCTTGTACCCATGGATTCACCAGCGGCCTAGGATCCACCTGTGGTCTAGGCAGATAATGTGTAGTTTCACTGTCTCATGTACATTAACATCAGCTGACCACTTTGCAGGAAAGCAAGTATATCCCAGAGATCACTCCCCTCTCCCCTTTCCCCCAGGTACTAGGGCATGAACTCAGGGCCTTGTGCTCCTCTTGTTTAGCTTTTTTTGTTCAAGTCTGGCACTCTACTACTTGAGCCACAGTTCCTTTTACTCATATCTCTGCTGGAATCACTAACTGAATCCTTCCTACTTAAATGATAGGAGAAACTTGCACTATACTAAGGGACTAGTATGTGCTAGACAACTGCTGACAAAGTACATGTACATGTCCTGTGCATTTTCATATGAACTTTCAAAAGTAAGACGACATAATTTCTTTATTTTTCCTTTATTTTTCTAGTGCTAGGAGTTGAACCTTGGCTTTGTATATGCTAGGCAAATGTTCTGCCACTGAGCCTATACCCTGCAGCCTTGCTTCATGTTTTTAAACAGGATCTAACTGCATTGTCTAGGTTGACTTCAAATTTGAGAGTTTTCTGTCTAAAAGCATCCCAAGTAGCTGGGATTTCAGTTCAGTGCCACCATGCCCAGCATTGAAATAATTTAGTTTTGAGAAGTTTTGTTTTTTTGTTTTTTCATTTTTTATTTTGGTGCTGGTAGTGGGTCTCATACTCTTGCTTAGTTTTTTCACTCAAGGCTAGACCTCTACTACTTAAGCCACACCTGTAAAAGCCAGAATAGTCTGACTTTGTGGTGGTTAATATGAGAATCTTTGAGTTTTCTGTCTTGTGCGCGCGTGCGTGCGTGCGTGTGTGTGTGTGTGTGTGTGTGTGTGTGTGTGTGTGTGATGGGGCCTGAGCTTTGGGCCTGGCGCTGTCCCTCAGCTCTTCAGCTCAAGGCTAGTGCTCTACCACTTGAACCATAGTGCCACTTCCGGCTTTTTTCTTTTTGCTTATGTGGTGCTGAGGAATCGAACCCAGGGCTTCATGCATGCAAGGCAAGCACTCTACCACTCTACTACCTTCCCAGCCCCTTGACTGGCTTTGATCCATGATTCTCACATCTCACCTTCCTGAGTAGCTAGGCTTACAGGTGTAAGCCACTAGTGTCCAGCTTATTTTTAAGAAATTTCACTTTTTTTTTGTATCTTTGCTTTTTGAAGCGACTACTTTAAGAATATTTCTGTCTATGCTTTAATTTGTTTTAGTGCTGGGGATTGCACTCAGACTCTTGTGCAAATGACTAAGCACCCTACCACTAGTCTATACCCACAGGTCCCTAACGTGGCAGTTTTGAAGTTATTATCTATAACTTAGAATTTTAGCTTTAAAGATCCTTGAGTGTCATGGATGTGCAGAGCATGATGGGAGGTCATAGGAGGAATAACAAGTTAATTTCCTGTGCTTAAGGAATTAATGAACCAACATGTAATGGCAGTGGGTGAGAGAAATAAATAGAGAGTATTTTTGTTTTAGTTGTTTTTTTTGCTGTTCAGGAAAACTTTGGCATCCATAGTAATTCCATTGTCCTCTCTTTATTTGCCTAGGTTTGCTTATCTTGGGAGCATTGCTTATATAAAGATCAGTGACCAGTGACATCAGCCATGTCAACAAGGCCTTTTGAAAGTCCTCCTCCTTATAGACCCGATGAATTGTAAGTAAATAATTATTTGGTTCTCCCTTTCCCCCTTCTAATGAAGTCTATCACATGTAAAAATTGTGTGGGATTGAAACTTTAATCTACCAAGGATTTGTTTTTAAAAATTAAACAATTTGTAAATTTAAATGGTACAAAAGGAGATATATAATACACACACACAAACACACACACACACACACACACATACACACACACTGAAAAGTGACTTTCTCTCTTGCTTTTTTTTTTAATCAGTCATGAGGCTTGAACTCAGGGCTTGGGTGCTTTCCCTGAGTTTTTTTACTCTAGGGGCTAGTGCTTTACCACTCTGAGCCATAATACCACTTTCAGTTTTCTGATGGTTAATTGGAGATAAGAGTTTCACAGGGACTTTTCTGCTCAGATTGGCTTTGAACTGTGATCCTCAGATCTCAGCCTCTTTTTTTTTTTGTTCGTGTGGGGCCTGAACTCTGGGCCTGGGCACTGTCCCTCAGCTCTTCAGCTCTCTACTACTTGGGCCACAGCACCTCTTCCGGCTTTTTCTGCTTATATGGTGCTGAGGAATTGAACCCAGGGCCTCATGCATGCAAGGCAAGCACTCTACCTCTGAGTCACTTTCCCAGACCCCGGATCTCAGCCTTTTGAGTAGCTAGGATTATATAGGCATGAGCCACCAGAGCCTAACTCTTTCTTATTCTTTTTTTTTTTTTTTTTGGGTCCGGTCGTGGGGCCTGAACTCTGGGCCTGGGCGCTGTCCCTCAGCACTTCAGCTCAAGGCTAGCACTCTACCACTTGAGCCACAGCGCCACTTCCGGCTTTTTTCTTTTTGCTTATGTGGTGCTGAGGAATCGAACCCAGGGCCTCAGGCATGCAAGGCAAGCACTCTACCACTGAGCCGCCTTCCCAGCCCCTTTCTTATTCTTGAATCCCAATATGATAGGTTTTCCCTGTAGATTTAACTACTAGCATGCATTTCAAATGTTCACCTTATAGAGGTTGTCTAGGTTTATATTTGTGTCTATATATCCACTTTATTTTCATACATGATACGAAACTTCAGTATTAAAGCCAGGCTGTGATGGCTCATGCCTGTAATCTTAGATACTCAACAGACTGAGATCTAAACTGGAAAAGAGGATCAAGTGGATCCTAGCCTTGAGCAAAGAACAAGCAAGGGTGAAACCCTGAGGTCAAACCCCATTACTAACGTGTGCATGCGCACTCCCGCGCTCACACACACCACACCCCAGAAGCCTTGTTTAGATGGCCATTGGTAATATAGTATCACTTTTGCTTTGTTATTTTTTGTGCTCATACCAGCACAAGATTATTCATAGCTGGTACTGTACTGCTTGAGCCATACCTCCAGTCATGCTTTTTGCTGGTTAATTGGAAATCAGAGTCTCTCGGGCTCTTCTGCCTGGACTGGCTACAGAAGTACCTTAAAAATACAATGCTGTAGAGCCTAGGATAAAGCTCCGTGGTAGGGTATGTGCCTTGACACATATATACAAAAAGATAGCAACAAACAATGTAATGCTAGCCATATATAAAATTTACATTTTCTTGCAACTACATTAAAAATGAAATGAAAAATAGTATATTTTACTTAATTCAGGATATGTGTTTGAGGTATGACACTTTTTTTTTTTTTTTTTGGGCTGGTCCAGGGCCTTGGAACTGTCCCTCTTTGTACTCAAGGCTAGCATTCTATCACTTAAGCCACAATGCCACTTCTGACTCTTTCTGAGTAGTTTATTGGAGATAAGAGTCTCATGGACGGGGCTGGGAAGGTAGCTCAGTGGTAGAGCGCTTGCCTTGCATGCCTGAGGCCCTGGGTTCGATTCTTCAGCACCACATAAGCAAAAAGAAAAAAGCCAGAAGTGGCGCTGTGCCTCAAGTGGTAGAGCGCTAGCCTTGATCTGAAGAGCTGAGGGACAACGCCCAGGCCCAGAGTTCAAGCTCCACGACCGAACCCAAAGAAAAAAAAAAAAAAAGAGTCTCATGGACTTTACTGCCTGGGTTGGCTTTGAACTGCATTCTTCAGATTTCAAACTAGCTAGATTTACAAGCATGAGCCTCATGTACCTAACTGACACATTCTTTTTTCCATGGTATTTCTGTGAAATTCACTAGCATTTTGGACTAGCACTGTATCAAGTGTTAGGTAGAGTGGCTGCCCTGTTGGCACAGTCCTGTACTGTTCTGCTGTGCAGGAACATCACACCTACCTGTTTACTCTGGTGGACAATTAATTCGGAGTTACCATAAGCAATACTGCTGTAAAATTTTTGATGGCATTATAATTGATAACTGGTAAGTGACTACTGGAAAACAAGTTCACTTTTTTTTTTGCCAGTCCTAGGGCTTTGAACTCAGGGCTTGGGCACTGATCCTGACCTTTCTTGGCTCAAGGCTAGTGCTCTACCACTTGAGCTACAGTACCACTTCCAGCTTTTTCTGTTTATATGGTACTACGGAATTGAACCCAGGGCTTCATTCCCAAGTTCACATTTTCTAGTAGATTGAAGATATACAAGTCTTTGACCCAGAAATTCCATCTCCCTGGGTGTATACTTTAGAAAAATAAGTGATTTTGTGTACCAGAATATTCATTCGAGAATATTCAGACCTACACTTTTCACATTATCACCACACAGAGACAACCAAATGCTCCAGAAGAATGGAATGTGAAATTTTCATCTTGACATTTCCAAAAACCAGCTGACACATAGTCTCTAGTTTCTCTATTTTCATTCTCATATACTGAGATAATTTATTTGAATTCTCATGATCAGCAGAAGCCAGCAGTAACATATCTTGTTTGGAGCAGGGAAATAGGAGGTCTGTGAAAATAAAGGGAAAACCGTAAGAGACTAAGTCAGTTTAGAATTGAATTTGGCCTCCTCAGAGCCTGTAATTCTGAGATTCAGTGTGTCTTATCACAAGCAGTCTATTATAGTTAAATTATTGGGATGTGCAAAGTAATTTTTCTAAAGGAGACCCAAGATTCAAGTAGATATTACCCTGATGAGATCTCAGTGCAGCACTGAGTTGTTTTATGTTGCAGCTGTGCCATAACTATAGGTCATGCAGTGCTTTTTATAGAGCAAACTGGGCAATGAGCCAGGTGCTGGTGGCTTATTTACACCTATAACTCTAGCTACTTAGGAGGCTGAGATGTGAGGGTCTTGGTTCAAAGCCGTTCCAGGCAGGAAAGTTTGTGAGATTGTTATCTCCATTAATAACTTGAAAGTTGAAGTGGAGATGTGGCTCAAGTGATATAATACCAGCCTTGACCAGAAAAGCTAAAGGACAGCTCCCAGGCCCTGAGTTCAAGCTCCAGTTCCTGCATAAACAATAATACTAACAATAACAGCAACAACAAATAAACCCTGGGGAAGTTAGATTATCTTGTTTACATCGTATCTCTATTACTCAGCACAGTGTCCAGAAACAGATAACTTAGCAACTCCAGCAAAGAGTTGTCTATTGAATACAGGATGAGTGTACATAAGTAGGAGAGTGAAAATGCCAGGAAGTACTGTGGATAAACTAGTATTTTGTTTGAATACACCCATCTTGTACCACATAAACTGAAAGATTAATACCATTGTTCTAAAACTGGTCTGAGTCTCATCCATAGGGATTATATTGTAACTGACATAGTGCATACCACTTGAGATTTTTACTCTTTCCCAAGTGATCCTAATACGGAGAAAATTTGGAGAATCTTTGTTCCGTATTAGATTAGCAATACTGTCATCCTCAAGGTGTATTTCTAAGACCAGTAGCATCTGCATCATCTGGAAACTTGTTCCACCTAAGATCTGCAAAATCAGTTGCTCAGAGGCTAGGCTAGTTATCTATCTATCATCCATCTATCTACTTGAGCCACAGTGCCACTTCTGGTTTTCTGGTGGTTTATTGGAGATAAGAGTCTCATGGACTTTCCTGCCTGAGCTGGTTTTGAACCACGATCCTCAGATCTCAGCCTCCTGAGTAGCTAAGATTACAGATCCTCAGATCTCAGCCTCCTGAGTAGCTAAGATTACAAGTGTGAGCCACTGACGCATGACTTCTATCTAATCTTTTAACAAGCTCTTCAGTGTGCTTCCAGGGTTCAGTTGGATAGCAGTGACAGTTTCATTTCCCAATGATTAGTTTAGGTCATTCCAAGTACTTTATATACATTTTGTCTGTTAACCACCAAAATGTAGTAACTTAAAGTTCTTCTCGTTTGCATTCCAGCAAACCAAATCATTATGCACCGAGTAATGACATATATGGTGGAGAAATGCACGTTCGACCAATGCTTTCTCAACCAGCATACTCTTTTTACCCAGAAGATGAAATCCTTCATTTCTACAAGTGGACATCTCCTCCAGGAGTGATTCGGATTCTGTCTATGCTCATTATTGTCATGTGCATTGCCATATTTGCATGTGTGGCCTCTACACTTGCCTGGGACAGAGGCTATGGATCTGGCCTTCTAGGTGGTGGTCTTGGCTACCCTTATGGAGGAAGTGGCTTTGGTAGCTATGGAAATGTCTATGGTTATGGCTATGGTTATGGCTATGGAGGAGGATATACAGATCCCAGAGCTGCAAAGGGCTTCCTGTTGGCCATGGCTGCCTTTTGTTTCATTGCCTCATTGGTGATATTTGTTACCAGCGTGATAAGATCTGATATGTCTAGAACAAGAAGATATTACTTAACCGTGATAATAATAAGTGCTATCCTAGGCATCATGGTATTTATTGCAACAATTGTCTATATAATGGGAGTCAACCCAACTGCCCAGGCCTCTGGATCTATGTATGGTCAACAGATATATGCACTCTGCAACCAGTTTTATGCACCTGCAGCCACTGGACTCTACGTGGATCAGTATTTGTATCACTACTGTGTGGTGGATCCCCAGGAGGTATGAGTTAATGTTTTCTTCTCCCCTCTCCCTCTTTTTTTTTTTTGTCAGTCGTGGGGCTCGAACTCTGGGTCTGGGCACTGTCCCCGTGCTCTTCAGCTCAAGGGGAGTGCTCTACCGCTTGAGCCACAGCGCCACTTCCGGTTTTCTAGTGGTTTATTGGAGATAAGAGTCTCATGGACTTTCCTGCCCGGGCTGGCTTTGAACCGTGATCCTCAGATCTCAGCCTCCTGAGTAGCTAGGATTACAGGCATGAGCCATCAGCACCCGGCTCCCCTCCCCCTCTTAAGGTCATAAATTTTCAACTTGTGATTTGTATTGTTGGCACTTTGCTTCAAATAGGATGGGTGACATGGTCTCACTTAATATCAAAATCTCGGGCTAAGTGCTGAGTATCAGCATTCAGATGGATCATATAATTCTGCTACTTTAAAAAATAGCTGAGACCAGGCACCTGTGGCTCATGCCTGTAATCCTAGCTACTCAGGAGGCTGAGATCTGAGCACCCCAGTTCAAAGCCATCCTGCACAGGAAAGTCCGTGAGACTCTTACCTTAATTAACCACCAGGAAACTGGAAGAGGCATTGTGGCTCAAGTGGTAGAGCGTTCACCTTGAGCTGAAGAGCTGAGGGACAGCGCCCAGGCCCGGAGTTCAAGCCCCACAACTAACCAAAAAAAAAAAAAAGCTGAATGGTTTGTAGTATATTCACAGAATTACGTGAGCATTACCACTCTTGGAACTATGGTTCAAGTGCTGGAACTCCACCCTTGAGTGAAAAGTTAAAGAGACAGCACTCAAGATGTAAGTTCTAGCCTTAGTACTGGCACACACATACACACACCCAAAAGATATTTACTATCCCCCAGCGAAACTTGTGTTCCCATTAGCAGTCATTTTTCTATCCCTCTCTAGGCAGCCACTATTCCTCCCCATATAGATTTGCCTGTTTTCTGGGTACTTTATATACAAGCTCAAATTTTGTGGTCTTTTATGATTGATTTCTTTCACTTAGCACAGTGTTTTTGAGAGTTACTTATATTTTAGCATGGTGAGTTCCTCGGTCCTTTTCATTGCTGACTGTATTCCAATATATGTTCATTCTATGCTCCATTGGATTTACCCATAAACATTAGAGCTGTTTCTATACTGGTTAGATCACTAGTGTACAAATTTTTGTGAACATCTCTAAAAGTTTTTGTGACCTGTATTTCAGTGTCTTTTTAGTTGCCTGTGTACCTAAGGATAGAATTAATGAGTCATATGGTAACACTTACCTTCTTGAAGAGCTTTGAGGGTTTTCCAGATTCCTACCAGAAATGTATGAGGGTTTCAATTTTTCTTCTGCTTCACAAACACTTGTTCCTGTCTACTTGTCTGATTCTGGCTGTGCTAATGTGTGAAGTAGGACTTCATTGTGGGTCTGATTTGCATTTACTTCATAGTTAATGCTGTTAAGTATCTTTTTTCTTTTTTGGTATATATTTTCATGTATTTATTAGCCATGTCTTCCATCTTTGAGAAATCATTTTTTTGAGAAATAATGTATTCACAATCTTTACTCATTTTTACTTTCTTATAATTTAGATACAAGTTCCTTATTAGGTGGACAGTTTGTAAATACTTGTCATTCTGTCTATCTCTTTTCATTTTTTGATAATCTTTGTACAGAGCTTTTAGTTTTGGTGAAGTCTAATTTACCCAGTTTTTCTTTGGTCACACATGTGTGCATCTGTGTACGTGTGTGTGTGGGGGGGGGGGGGGTACTGTGCCCTCACACTATGGTTTGGCTTTTTTGCTCATGGCTAGTGTGCTTTACCACTTGAGCCACACCTTTACTTCTGGCTTTTAATTGGAGAAAAGTATCCTGGATGTATCTGTCCAGATTGGCTTTGAACCATGATCATCCTATCTCAGCCTTCTGAGTAGCCATGGTTACAGGTGTGAGCCACTGGCCTGGCCACTGTCCCTATTATAAAAGCTTATCCAGATGATTCAGATGTGCAGCTGGGGCTGGAAACCTTGCCTCCCGAAACCATGAGTCATCTTAATTACATTAACACCAGAAACGTTTCTGGTTTTGTTTTGTTTTTCTGACTCAGGAATGCCTGAATGAGTCGCTCTGGGGGTCAGACTTTCTCTAGTAACTGTCTGGGTTTCCAGAACTTAATGGTCCCCTGCAGGTGTAGATTTCAAAGGTTACCATTCAGACAGGTCTGCTAAGTAAATGTCTGTGCTATCTCACCACACCTGTTCACTCTTAATCCTCTGATTACTTAAAACTTACTCTCTGAAAAAGGATGTCACTGTGACATCTACACAGCCTTCTGTTACTCACTAGTGGATATCAGGGGCAAAGGCAGGTATCTTCCTCAATCTCAAGTGCTCCCAGGCCAAGAAGCCACTTGTACACTTACCAGACACTGGATGACTGTCCCTATAGGACGTTTCCTTATCACAAGGCCCTTTATAGTACATATACAAAACACTGTAAACATGGAAATCTGCTAGATCAAATGAGTTGTTAATCCATTTGCTCTAATTTGTTTTTAATCATTTAATGTAAAACAAGTCTATGTATTGAAACTTACATTTAGTGTAAAAAGATTTGCCAAGCATGCAGGTACCTTGGCCGTGAGGGGATGAATTGAAATACATTCAATACATGTGTGGAAATGTCACAATGAAATTTCTTCCTTGTATGGTTAATACATGCTTAATAAAAAAAACAAACTAGGCATAATTGGATGTTTAAAGCTGCTTCAGGCTGGGAAGGTGGCACAGTGATAGAGTGTTTGTTTGCCTTGCATGCATGAGGCCCTGGGTTCAATTCATCAGCACCACATAAGCAGAAAAAAGCCAGAAGCGGCACTGTGGCTGAAGTGGTAGAGTGCTAGCCTTGAGCTGAAGAGCTGAGGGACAGTGCCCAGGCCCAGAGTTCAGGCTGCACAACCAACAACAACAACAAAAAAGCTGCTTCTCAGATTAGTTTTTTTTTAGTGTCAGTCCTGGGGCTTAAATTTAAGACCTGAGTGCTATCCTTGAGCTTTTTTGCTCAAAGCTAGTGCTCTCTCACTTGAGCCACAGCTATACTTCTGGCCTTTTTTGGTGGTTAATTGGAGATATAAGTCTCAGAGACTTTCTTGCCTGGAATGGCTTCAACCCAGATTCTCATCTCAGCCTCAGAGTTGCTGGGAATACAGGCTTCAGCCACTGGTACCTGCAAGATTAGCAGTTTTCAAGCCCTTTAGTACTGAAGCCAGGGGTGGTGGTACACAACTTAATCTCAGCATTCAGGAAGCCAGGGCAGCAGGTTGATTCTAAATTCTGGACCAGTTGGGACTACATAGACAGATATGGTCTTTTTTTTTTTCTTTAAGTATAGCATCATTGGGTTAATTTATTAATTTATTTTATTTTTACCTGTTAATAAAAATGTGGCTGTTAAGTGTACAAGTTTTCAGGACTAGTTTTCTACAGCTCTCCAGTGGAGTGATAACATGTTCTTTTTTGTGTGTGCTAGTCCTGGCACTTGAACGTCAAGGCCTGGGCATTGTCCCTGAGTTTTTTTGCTCAAGGCTAGCACTCTATCACTTGAGCCATAGCTTTACTTCCATAGCACTGTACCACTTGAGCAAAAGCTCTGCTTCCATTTTTTGTTTGTTTTGTTTTGTGTGTGGTTAATTCAAGATAAGAGTCTTAGGGACTTTCCTGCCTGGGCTGGCTTTGAATATGATCCTCAGATCTCACTCCTGAGTAGCTAGGATTACAGGCTTGAGCCACAGTGCCTGTCAGAAGATGACTCCTTTTATCACTAAAGTGTTCTGAAAGGAAAATATGTATCTCAGGCATGGACACCTGTCTTGAAAGGGAGTGTCTGAGGATGCCTGTCCTTTAAGGAGATGCTTAGGCATCCATGTTTATTATGACCCACAGGTTAGTAAACAAGCCAACCTTGAAACTTCTTAGATCAGACAGTGTAACAGCAAGAGCAACAGAATACACTAGGTGTCCAGAACAAAGGGAACACTCATCCAGGAGTAAATTAGGGCCAACCCACAACCCACTTTTCTACTTGTGATGTTAGTGTACTCACTACATTTGCTATTGGATGTCCTTGCACTCATATCTGAGTGTGTATGTTCTTTCTATCTTCCTTTGCTTTTTTTTTGGTGGAAGTACTGGGACTTAAGCTCAGGAATTAGATGTTCTTCCTTAGGTTTTTTTTTTTTTTCCCTCTTAAGCTTTCTGCTCTACCACTTGAGCCATACATCTGCTTCTGGCTTTTTGCTAGTTATTTGGTGGTGATGAGTCACACAGATTAGTCTGTTGATTTAGAAACTGATAGTTACATCTTAGTCTCCTGAATAGCTAGGATTACAGGTGTAACCCTCAGTACCTGTCTATATGTCACTTCACTCACTTGGTTTCTACCTCAGTGTCACGAAAAAATTGTTATGACAACATAATGGACTTGGTGACCAGAGGCAGGTAGAAGCACTTTCTTTATTGTGGAGGCCTCTTCCCTAGGTTCTGATAGCAATCTGAGGATTTAGTCAAGTAGAGTGTGTGTGTGTGTGTGTGTGTGTGTGTGTATACATGTGTACATACATACTTGTATATTGCTATTTTAGCAATATGTGGGTTGGATTTTATAATTTAACTAAAATGTTCAACTACACTTCAGTTTTACACCAGTTAAGCTGCAGATATTAAGTTCTTAGGTAGAGATAGGTTTTAACTTGTAGGTAGATTGTGATTAAGTAAGCAATTCACATTAATTATACCAATATCTTTGATCATTTTTTAGGCTATTGCCATTGTACTGGGCTTCATGATTATTGTGGCTTTTGCTTTAATCATTTTTTTTGCTGTGAAAACACGAAGAAAGATGGACCGCTATGACAAGTCCAATATTTTGTGGGACAAGGAGCACATTTATGATGAACAGGCCCCCAATGTGGAAGAGTGGGTGAGTATAATAAGACCATTTATTCTTCCATTAAATCAATCACTGGGTTTCTGTCTTTAAATTGGTGCCTTGTTAAACTTGTCTTTAGGATTATTGTCCATGTATGTTGCAAAGTTGCCACTTTAGTTTTTAGTCAAAATTTTAAGAGGATGTGATAAATGGAAATTGTTTTACTAAAATCATTTCTGTTTTCAAGAGCAGATATAGTCTCTGAAAAGCAATGGCTTCTAAAGAAACCAAGCAGAAAAAGTTTGGCTTTTGCATGATAAAAATAAATTTTTCTTCTTACCTTTTGTTTTGCTGCTTATCCTTTTGGAGAAATCACTTGCCTAGGAGGTTGTCTTAGGTCAAGATTGGCTAGGTAGGGTGTTTTGAGAATGATAAAGATTGACAGCTTTTTTTTTTTTTTGTCCATCGTGGGGCTTAAACTCTGGGCCTGGGTGCTGTCCCTGAGCTCTTCAGCTCAAGGCCAGCGCTCTACCGCTTGAGCCACAACACTACTTCTGGTTTTTTAGTGGTTTATTGGAGATAAGAGTCTCATGGACTTTCCTGCCCGGCTTGACTTTGAACCGTGATCCTCAGATCTCAGCCGCCTGAGTTTCCTGCCCAGCTTGACTTTGAAGCGTGATCCTCAGATCTCAGCCGCCTGAGTAGCTAGGATTACAGGTGTGAGCCACTGGCGCCGGGCTAACATTGACAGCTTTTTAAACATTTTACATGTATTACATCATGGTAAACTACAGTGACTAATTTGGCCTAAATAGTTTATTTCATGTGGGAAAGAAAAACATTGGAGTTGGCGGCTTTTTTTTTGGGTCCGGTCATGGAGCCTAAACTCTGGGCCTAGGCACTGTCCCTCAGCTCTAGAGCTCAAGGCCAGCGCTCTACCACTTGAGCCACAGCACTACTTCCAGCTTTTTTCTTTTTGCTTATGTGGTGCTGAGGAATCGAGTCCAGGGCCTCAGGCATGCAAGGCAAGCGCTCTACCACTGAGCCACCTTCCCAGCCCCGCAGTACTGGGGTTTGAACTGAGGACTTTGCGCTCTCATTTAGCTTTTTTGCTCAAGGCAAGCACTTGAGCTTTTTGATGGTTAATTGGAAATAAGAGTCTCACAGACTTTCTTGCCCAGGCCGGTTTTGAACTGTAATCTTCAGATCTAGCCTTCTGAGTGCTAGAATTACAGACATGAGCCACCAGCACCTAAGTACTGGAGGAGTTTTGACTCAGGAGAGCTCTATACTATCCATCACAGTGGGCTTCCTAATATGATGCAATTTGCTAAAAGCCTAAGAAATCCCTCTCTAGGAACACCTCAGAAATGTTTGCTCTTGCTGAGATCTGGGGATCGTGGTTCAAAGCCAGCCCAGGCAGGAAAGTCTGAGAGACTCTTATCTCCAATAAACTACTGAAAAACTCTCAAGTGTCAGCTGTGACTAAAGTAGTAGAGCACTAGTCTTGAGCAAAAGACCTCAGGGACAGTGCCTAGTTGCTAAGTTCAAGCCCCAGGATCAGCACCAGAAAAAAGAAAAGAAGAAATGTGTGTTTCTGTGCTGTCTTTAGAGATGTTTGGAATGAGATGGTTTTTGTTAGGATGTGGTTAGAAGCAATCTCTGAACCTGCTGTCAAAGATTTCTTTAGCCACAATTGATTTCTTGCCAAGAAGGCCAGGAGAGAACCTTGGTTCCAGAGTGGGCCTATTTGGCCAGTGGCCAGTGAGAGTAGGGTATAGAGAGAAGTACCAGGCAAGCTGTGGGTCACTGATATCCTGAAGTCTCCCTGTAAGTCTTGAGGTTTTAGGAAACCTAGAAGCATAGATGAGATTACTTCTAGTTGGCTAAGGAGAAAAGAAGCTGTTTTATAGGAAAGCCCAGAATGGGTATGATATGTGATTGCTGCAGAGTGCTGGTCACTGGGTCCTGCCTTCTATCAGAGGGAAGCCCTTCTTTGTGGCCCCTGGGATGGGAAGATGGCAGACAGCGTTTCCACGTCCAGCTTCAAGCCATGCCGCTTACTGCAAGATGATAGGACAATCTGTTGTGAGCTATGAAGTCAAGGTTTCACCCAGAGTTTCTGGGTGTGTCATTTTCACTAGCTGTTGGGTTTGTTTACTTAAGGTTTCTAGAGGTTAACAAAACAATTGAGTACCAGTGATATTACAGTCCTAGTGAACTTTGGCCTGTCATCTGATTTTTTTCCCTATCATGAAGGCTCATGAGTTCTAGGTGTTTTTGATAATTAGGTAAAACATTATCATAGCAGCTCAGGGAATGATGATGATGATTCTTAAAAAGACATTCTGCCAGGTTCTGGCAGAATCACATCTGTGATTCTGAGGAGGTTGAGATCTGAGAAATGGATTCAAAGCCAGCCCAGCTTTGTGAGCCTCTTATCTCCAGTTAGCCACCAAAAAGCTGGATGTAGAACTCTGGCTCAAGTGGTAGAATGCTAGATTGAGGAAAATAAAGCCCAGGACGGTGCCTAGACCCAGAGTTCTAGCCCCAGGTAGCCTGGTGCCAGTGACTAGGCCTATAATCCTGAGTTTCTGAGTAGACTGAGATCTGAGTATCTCAGTTCAAAGTCAGCCCAGAAGATTGTAAGTGGGCATATTTTAAGTTTTACCAAGTATTGCCAAGTTACCTTGTTTTTAATTTTTATGTATTAATATTATATATATATATATATATGTAAAGTTCAAGTCATGGTAAACATTTTTTTTTTTATTTATATATCCTGGCAATACTGGGGATTGAACTCAGAGCTTGCTTGCTGCCTTCCTTGCTAGTGTACTAGTTACTAGATAAGCGCATTACCACTTGAGCTACACCACCAGCCCTTTTTTTGTCAGTTATGGAGCTTGAACTCTGGGCTTGGGTGCTGTCCCTCAGTTCTTCAGCTCAAGGCTAGCACTCTACCACTTGAGCCACAGCACCACTTCTGGTTTTCTGGTGGTTTATGGAGATCAGAGTCTCATGGACTTTCCTGTCTGGGCCGGCTTTGAACCGAGATCCTCAGATATCAGCCTCCTGAGTAGCTAGGATTATAGGCTTGAGCCACTGCCAGTCCTTTTGCTTGACCTTCTTATCTCTACCTCCTGAGCAGCTGGGATTCTCAGTGTGGGCCACCATGCCAGCAAACACCTGGCTTTATTTATGTATTTGTTTTACTGAGGATTGAACCTGACTTGAAGCTTGCCAGGCAGGTGTCTACCACTTTTCTTTATGGTGAAAATAATCAAATTCCTTTCTTCTGTTTTTTTTTGTTGTGGTTATTGTTATTGCTTTGTTTTCTTTTTTTTTTTTTGTTTGTGCTGGTTATTTTTATTTTTATTTATTTATTTTTTTTATTGTAAAGCTACTATACAGAGGGTTACAGTTACATGAGTGAGGTTATGAGTACACTTCCTCTTGAACATTGTTACCCCCTCCATTGTTTTCCCCCTACCATCCCCTCCCTCCCTCCCTTCCCCGAGGTTCTTTTTTTTTTTTTTTTTTTGATTGTGATTAAATGATTACATAATTTCAAAGTCACAAGTTCATTCTAACTTCCCTGGAGCAAATTGTCTACCACAGTCTGTAATATATAACAGTGTTCACATGTTATATACCATATTTGTGATCAGCAGCATGGGGATATTTAGTAGTGGTTCAACCAGATGAGCGGGAGTTCTTTGTTTCTTAAGTCCTGTTAGTTTTATCGTATCACCTAACCTTTTGGATTTAGCATCCACTTATGAGGGAGACCATGTACCGTTTGTCTCTTCGTTCTTGTCTTACCTCGCTCAACATGATTCCTTCTAGCTCCATCCATTTCCCTGCAAATGCCATTATTTTGTCATTTCTAATGGCTGCATAATATTCCATTGTGTATAGATACCACAATTTTTGGATCCATTCTTCTGTGGTGGGGCATCTAGGTTGTTGCTTTGTTTTCTTTTAATATAATCATTTCACTGTGCAATAGGAAGTCAGAATTTCTTTCTCCTATCTATTATTGAGTCACCTATGTTTGTGTATATTTCCTTTGGGTATGTATGGGTTGTAGAGTTTGTGAATATCCATCTTTAGAAAATAGTACAGGCTGTCTTCTTTTTTTTTTTTTTTTTTTTTTTGGGTCCAGTCGTGGGGCCTGAACTCTGGGCCTGGGCGCTATCCCTCAGCTCTTCAACTCAAGGCTAGCGCTCTACCACTGGAGCCACAGTGCCACTTCTGGCTTTTTTCTTTTTGCTTATGTGGTGCTGAGGAATCGAATCCAGGGCCTCAGGCATGCAAGGCAAGCAAGCGCTCTATCACTGAACCACCTTCCCAGCCCTACAGGTTGTCTTCTAAAGCTTATTTACAATCTTGCTAGTAACTTTTGATGTTGTTAAGAGTTTATGATTTTTGTAGTTGAAACAGGTAGTGTGTATCACTTTTTTCTTGGTTTGTATTTTTTCTGGGCAGGTCATATTCACTAATTTTTACCTTTTGGTAGTTTCTGAGATGGTAACATTTGACCAGTTTCTCTGTCTTGACTCTTATAAGAGTTTTGATGGGATAAAGGTTAACTTTTATGAATCATAATTCAGAGGTAGTCCTCTATTGCATGAGGGCAGAGAGCTTTTACAAGCTAACCCTTTAGATAGATGGTGGTTTCAATTGTGTTCCTTCTCTTCCATTGATGTATGAGGGAGGTGCTTCTCAGGAGCTGAGGATGAACTGAGAGCTCAGTGAGATAAGAGCAGGAACCCTAAGTTGGATGCAGTGGGCTGCCAAGGCTGCAACAGGAGGCTCACATGAACCCAGGACTTTGAAGCCAGCGTGGGAAGCATAGGGGCTGGGAAGGTGGCTCAGTGGTAGAGCGCTTGCCTTGCATGCATGAGGCCCTGGGTTCAACTCCTCAGCACCACATAAGCAGAAAAAGCCAAAAGAAGTGGTGCTGGTTTCAAGAGGTAGAGTGCTAGCCTTGAGCTGAAGAGCTGACTGACAAAAAAAAAAAAGAAAAAAGAATAAGGAAAAAATAA